TGTAATTCTCATTCTTGTTCCTCTATAGCATGTATTTTTTCCTCTGGTTCCTTTCAGTGACTTTCTCTTTGACTTTAGTTTTCCACATCTTGAATATAATATGCCTAGGTACAGATTAAGCTTGAAAAACCTACGGCCTGCGGGCTGTATATAGCCCTGGACGGCTCTGAATGCAACTCAACACAAATTTGTAAACTTTCTTAAAACAGCATGAGGGGTTTTTTTTTTTGCAATTTTTAAGTTCATCAGCCATTGTTAGCATTAGTGCCTTTTATGTGTGGCCCAAGACAATTCTTCTTCCAGTGTGGCCCAGGAACACCCCTGGTATAGACCTTTTGGTATTTATCTTGCTTGGTATTCCCTGAGTTTCCTGCTCTAAGAGTGGGTTTGGTGTCATTAATTTTGGATAATTCCCAACCATTATTGTCTCACATATTTCTTCCACTCTTTTCTCTTTCTTCTCCTTCTGGTATTACCATTATACATGTTATTACAAGTTTTGTAACTGTCCAACAGTTCTTGGATGGTCTACTTTTTCATCCTCTATTTTCTTTGCTTTTCATTTGAAGAAGTTTTTATTAACAGTTCTTCAAGCTCATTTATTCTTTGGCCTGCCCAGTCTCCTGATAAACCCATCAAAGGCATTTATTTGTCACACTGTTTTTTGACTTGTATCATTTCCTTTTAAATCTTCCTTAGCGTTTCCATATCTCTACTTACATTACCCTTTTACTCTTGCCTGCTATCTGCTTTTCCATTAGAGCCCTTAATATATTAATCATAGCTACCTTAAATTCCCTACTTGAGAATTACAAAATCTGCATCATATGTAAGAATGGTTCTGATATCTCCTTTGTCTCTTGTTCTTTCTTGCCTTTTAGCATGCTTTGTAAATTTTTGTTGAAAGCTAGACATAATATATCTGGAGGAATGTATAGAAACTGAGGTAATCAGGCTACTTGATTCATGTCAATCTGGCTGGAAGTTAGGCTGTGTTTAATGTTTGCTGTAGTTATCGGTGTCAGAGGCTTCAATCTACTATTCTTGCTTTGAGTTTTCACATTGTCATTGTCTTTGGGTTTCCCCCGAAACTCCTTTTAAATAAAATGTAGTCTGATAATAATGGGTCACAGCTGGCACTAGGGAAAGGCAGTCTCCTAATTTAACAAAACCCTGAAACTGGCGATCAACAGCTTGCTGATAAGATCTCAGGAGTTGGGCAAGTGGGTTCAAGCATGTGCACTAAGAGGCAAAATGGCAGAGTTTAACTGGTATATGACCTTCTAAGAACATTTAATGGGTAAGAGAAGAATGCTTCAAGTAAGCACGCATACAACTCCAGTGAACACACTACGCATATGGCCCTGCCCTAGTGCTGGCACGCCACTGAGCATGCGGACCACCCACCCTGAGGGAAGAATTAGGCAAGAAGTAATGAAACCCCGGAAGCCTGTCAACATATAAGACCCAAAGTCAAAGGTCCAACCACGCACTTGATTTCTCAAGGCACTTGCTTGGCCCTCTTCCAAGTGTACTTTTACTTGCTTTTGTTCCATTTAGAAAGCTTTTAAATAAATTTTTCCTCCTGCCCTAAAACTTGCCTTGGTCTCTCACTCTGCCTTATGACCCTTGATCGAATTCTTTCTTCTGACAAGAATTAAGGTTGCTGCAGCCCCCTGCAGATTCACCACCACTAACAACAGGAAAGCTAGAGGGGGCTGGAGGCTTCTAATTGCCCTTTCCCTACAACAGATGAGGCTCTGGTAAAGTAGTTTCCCTTGAGAGAAGGCTTTTGTTAGGGAAAATGCTGAGGGCAGTTTTCAAAATGGTTACTTTGCCCCCTCCTGCACAAAGCAAGAGGGAGTTTTAATCCAATCCTTGTCCTAAGAATCTGCTGAAGCTCTGAAAGGTAAAACTCCCAAAAGTGTAAGGGCACCATATGAGTGGTCTCCCAGGAGTTTCTAACTCTCAAGCTAATTCACACTCAGTCTCCAGCAAGTCATCAATGACCATTTTAAGTGTTCCTACCATTTACTGCTTCATGAGGATTTCTGTTCCTAGCATGCTGATCTCAGTTGTGATTTTCTGCATTTGCCTATCCAATTTTGGGGTGGCCATTTGCTTTGTGACCTCCATTATCTGATGGATATTTTAAAGGCTGTTAATGTTCCATTTGTTTAGCTTTTTTCTTGTGAGGACAGTTGTGATTGACTTCTAAACAGCTGTTTACATGTCACAGATGAAACCAGAAGTGTTAAAAAATAAGAAATAGCACACAAAAACAAAAACTTTCTGGAATATTCAATATTTTGAGAGTAAAAGGTCCTGGGACTAAAGTGTTTGATTGCCACTATGCAAAGGAACTCTGTTAGCAACAGTAGATACATATATGATTCTACTCTAAATTCTACAACAAGTTATATGTAATAAATTTCTCTTTAAAACAGTCAAGCAAAAAAATACATTGTGATATTGGTGGAATGATTTCAAAGATATGCTTTATTCTTTATTTCAAGTGAAAAAATAAAAATAAAGCAAAAAATACCATTTGCCATTCATGACAAGAGTAATTTAAAATTGAGGTCACCTAGGCACCAGCACAACACCCTGGCTTTGTAACCATTTGAAGGGTTCTTTCTGCCTGCAACACAAAGACCATGGCATTGTAGTAAAGAAAGAGATTAATAGACATGAGGCCAGCCACACCATGAGGGAGACAGATTTAGTACTCAAATCATTCTCATCCAAAGCTTATAGGTTAGGAATTTTTCAGAGGCAGTTTGGGGGAAGTGGTGGAGGTCACTAGGCTTGCTGCTGATTAGTTGGGACAGAGATCAAATCATAAGGGGTGAAGCTGTCCTCTTGCGCATTGAATCACTTCTGGGTGGGGCCATAGGAATGGTGGGTGTCAGACATGCAAAAAAACCTGAAAAGATATCTCAAAAGGTCAATCTGCAATAGTGGTGTTATCTGCAGGAATAATGGGGGAAGTTGCATATCTTATAACCTTCTGAATAATGACTGATAATAGCTCATGTCTGCACCTTAGCAGGACCCAGGCTCCTCTCCTCCTGCCAGCCTGATGCAAAAGCAGTTGAGTTTGCGGGAAGGCCTATTATAATTTAAACTGCAGCCTAAATGTCCCAAAAGCCCAAGAATAATCAAGGAAAGATTAGGGGTGGGTTAGCTCAGACCTCTTTCACTGTCATAATTTTCTCACTAACTTTTGCAAAGTTTTTTCAGCTTTGAAAATAAGATTGGATTTGCCAGTTTCACTTCTTCCTACTCCTCTCATACTGTGATAGAGTTCCCAAACAACCTCTATTGCTATCTCTATCAATTCCATACAACAAACCTATACTCAATCTCTACTAGGCACAAAACAATTCCTAATTTCAACAACTGTACAGATGACTGGGAAAACAAACGTGAGAATTATTTAGTAAAGCTCCATACCACCAGAGAATTATAGTATCTAAAAACTCTAAGTGTAGCAGAGAGAAATTACTGACAAATTCTCAAACAGTGTGAAAGGCTGTGCTTGGCACTAAATGATGAACAGGATTTTTCTTGCTATCCAAAAGAAGGGGCATTCTAGGTAGAAGGAAAAGCATGTACAAAAGCAGGTGGGTCTAGGAAGCAGGCATAAGCCAAGGATAAAGGGCTTTGTATGTCTGTTAAGAAGTAATGGTGGCCAGGTGCGGTGGCTCACGCTTGTAATCCCAGCATTTTGAGGGGCCAAGGCGGGTGGATCACTTGAAGCCAGGAGTTTGAGACCAGCCTGGTCAACATGGCAAAACCCTGTCTCTCCTAAAAATACAAAAATTATCTGAGCCTGGTGGTGCACGCCTGTAGTCCCAGCTACTCGGGAGGCTGAGGCAGGAGAATCGCTTGAACCCAAGAGGAGTGGGTTGCAGGAGCCGAGATCACACCACTGCACTCCAGCCCGGGTGACAGAGTGAAACTCCATCTCAAAAAAAAGTAATGGTGATGGCGATTCAGTCAGAAAGCATCAAGCACCAGGACAATCGATAAAAGAGTAGAGGGCAGTGCAGAAAATGAAATGCAAGTGAGGAGATAATGGCTATTGACCAGTAAAGAAACTCCTGGAATTGTTCCGATGAAAGCTAGTATTTCAAAACAGAGGCAGAGATGGAGAAAGACAGGACAGTTTTTCTTTAAAAACCAAAAGTAAAACAAGACTGGGTGATATACTGAACATACGAGATTGAAAGAAAGGGGAGACGACAAGATGCTGTAGGTTTTCCGCCTTATTTAAGGAAGTCAAAAATCCAGCTTATAGTATTGATCTTGCTCATGAAGTTTCAGATAGGTAATTCTAAAAAGCCTATTTTCCTTTAGACTGTCCAGTTATGATAACATGTATCAAAGCTAACTTATGACCACAATGGGCAGGGCATAAAGAACAGAAAGTCTGGGGTACACAACTTAGAATGCATCTGGAGTACAAAAGGAAAAAAGAGGCGAGATCCACTTCCTATCCCATGGGGCATCTGGAAAACTCCCTCAACTTAGAATGCATCTGGAGTACAAAAGGAAAAAAGAGGCGAGATCCACTTCCTATCCCATGGGGCATCTGGAAAACTCCCTCAGGCGACCGCTCCATCCAAACACCTGGGATCTTTCTCAGCCTTCTGATTTCTGTCACGAGGGCGTCCAGCACAGTCCTGGCAGCGCCGTAGGATCAGGGAGCATCAGCTGAGATGGCAACTGGCAAAGGCCCGTGTGGCCCAACACCCACCACTAACGCCGTTCAGTATCTACCTCAACTCCCCTCTAACGCGAGAATGTGTGTGAGGGAGGCAGGGAGAGTTCGGAGTAAAATTAACCCGAATCGACAGCGCGTCTGCCGCGCTAGCTGCCACAAATGCTGCAGACCCGACGGAGTGGAGCCAGAAAAGGCTCTGGCGTCCACTCGGGAGAGAACAAGGTCAGGAGTCCGTCCTGCACATCACGTAGAGCGAAGAGACCACACCTACCTGACCACAGATGCTCCCCATCGCCCAGCAACCGTGGTCCATGCTGCCTGCTACTTGTCCACCGCCGGCGTCGAAAAACCACCCTGATGCCCGCGCGCAGTGCACCGCGCCTGCGCATAGTCTCCAGAGGCTGAGCGCGGGTTGCCAGTGCGCATGCTCGGCTCTTTCGCGCTTCCTGGGCACCATTTGAACTCCGTTGAGTCTAGTTGGTTTATGCGCATGCGTGTCTCTGGTGTCTGTTCTCACCAAAGCCAGAAGCGGCTGGCGTTTGAAATGGTATCAGCCGGGAGTCGCTCTGCCTGCGCGTTTCTACGCTACACTGGCCGACACTCAAGCACTGGCAGAGAGGTTCCGGGGCTGGCCTGGCAGGAGGCGGCGCAATGGACACGCGGTCCGAGGACGGGGGCCTCAACCGCCAACCCACGCTTGCCTCTTCCTGGGATGCCATCTGCAGGCGAGGCCCTGACTCACAGCCTCCTCACCCGGGCCGGTCTCGGCGCCCGCGACTTCGACTGGGAGGAGCTGCTGGCGCCACCTGCTCCAGGGTGCGCCGGGCCGCCGGGGACCGGGTCGCTGCGCTCTGCGACTGCCGCGCTCCTCGGGGAGCCGTGAGGGTCTGAGCCCGGAATCCAGGGAGCAGTTGGTGTCAGGTCTCTGCGGGGAAGGGGGGCTGCGAGGTAGGGGCGAGGACCGGGGTGGGCGGAGGCGGGGTGGGTCTGGCCAGGAAGTACCCGAGGCCCCGGGGCATGAGCGGGGGAAGGTGACCAGGACTCGGAATTTCATAAACGTCCCCGTCAGGCGTGACAGGTCGTCAGGGCTGCTAAGTCAGTCCGCCCATCTACCCTGAAACAAGCCACCTCCTCTTCACCACCCCAGGCTGTGTAAAAAGCCCAGCTATCTACGACCGCCGTCGACTTAATTTCGAAAAAAGATACACTTTGTCTTTTATTATTGTGTTCTGTTCCTACTGCTATGCACACATTAGGGATCCAGTAATTTATCCGAGAATCAATTTCAGGGGACTGAGTAGAAGGTTGATGATTGAGGAAAAAATAGAGGGGGAAGCCCTGATGTGTGATGACTCCATTTCCTTATGAATTCTGTGTTGAGCATTTGTTAGAGTAGACCCCACGGCCTAACAAGTGGGTTATGAGCCATGTTCAGAGACTATACTGTGTGATGTTTTCACCTGTTTTCCTAGCCAGGATCTGGTGATTTAGAAGAGAAGCTTGAACAACCAAGATGAAAACCCCTGCTTCCTTTACCTGAGGTGTGGCCCCGATGGAGGTGAAGAAATCGCTTCTATTGGCATTTTAAGTTCAGCAAGAAACATGGAAGTGTACTTAGGAGAGGAGTACTGTGGAACCAGTAGGGGCAAGAATGTTTGTACTGTCCTGGATGACAGGTGTGTGGCTTGTACACAGGAAAAAAGTGTTCTTCTGAATTGGTGTTTTTATTGTCTTCACCTTTTGCAATATTGATTGATTCTCTGACATTGATGCTTACATTAGAGAAGAGAAGATAAAAACCTACTATGGGCATAGAAAGTTAGACCATTAAAGCATATTCTAGGCAATCTAGTTCAGCTTCCTCATTTTTAGGAATGCGGAAATTTAGAGCTAATAAAGGGGAGGTGAGCCTGGAGAGGGTCATACTAGTTAAAGTGTCCAGACAAGAGTGCAGTCCTTATTTCTGCTTCTTGACTCTCTCCATAAACTCACGATGGTCTGTTTTCCAGAAATTAATTTGACAGTCAGTCTGGAACTTTGATCATGTATTTTGTAAGGAACCTACAAGCCCAAGGTTGTGCCACACCAGCCTATTTAGTCCATACTCAATGTGTTATAGTTTGATCTTTTCTCTAGTCCCTTATAGGAATCAACTACACTAATCTCGCCTTAATATAAATCAAAACGTCAATTATTTTCTATATTGTGCATATTAGAAATAATAAATACATGACACAGTGTTATTAATGAGGTCACTTGAGAAGGGATCTCAACTGTTTGTCCCCTACCAGGCAAACTGAATCTCATAATTTAAAATGACCTGGAAACAATTTATTTTTTACTGCAGCTGTTTAAAATGATAATTTTTACAAGTGAAAAAATTTTTATTCTATTTTATTTTTAGTAAACACGAAATTATTTTCTACAAAAATTACTTAATAGTGGCATCCTCCACTCATGCCTGTAAAATAAAGGTAGGTCATCATTAAATTTTAACTAATTTGACAATTGTGAATGTTTACGTATAATATACGTACTGTTGGTTTGTTCATACAGTTAGTCCAACTTGGTCCCTGTTTATATGAAACTATGGTGCCAAGAAAACCACGTTTTGGCTCCATTATATTTTAAAAGACAAGAATTAGAGAAGTTGCAGAGAAAAGCACCTAAAATCTATTTGGACTGGTACCTTGAATATGAAAAATATTGTTGAGGTGAACTTTAGTAATGTCATCAGAGTCTAAGAGTACTGAGCTACAAATAGCCCAAAGTAGTAATGCAATTCTGTTACTCACTGGCTGAGTGACCTTGGGAAAATCCCTACATTTCCTTGGACCTACTTCATGGGTAAATTAGAGGACTAAAGAAAATAAAGCATTGTATTCTCTTTGTCTCCACATTACTTCATACAGGGTTGTGAGACTTACTTTAAGGAAAAAGTTGGCCGGGCATGGTGACTCACGCCTGTAATCCTAGCACTTTGGGAGGCCAAGGCAGGGTGATTCCTCGAGCCCAGGAGTTTGAGACCAGCGTGGGTGTCTTAGGGAGACCCTGTCTCAAAACAGAAAAAAAGAATAAAAAGAATAAGGAAAAAGTTAATGATTTTTGTAGCAGGCAGGTAACAAACTTACAGATCAGATTGTTCCAAGACATTGTTTGAGGTAGTATATATTAATAGCTTCCAAAGTCACTTAAATAAAGTAATTTATTCAACAAATATTTGAGTGCCTACTGATACCAGATACAGACAGTAGCAGGCATTTAGGAAGCAGCAGTAATAAAATAAAATGGAGCGACTACCCTTGTGTTGCTTATATTCAGATGGGATGAGACAGGTAATGAGCACACTCTGAATAAAACTGTGTTTTATTTGGTGGTGAGAAAGGCTATAAGGATTAAGAAGCAGAAAGGAGATAATAGGGAGGATGAGAGGCGAGTGTTTAAATTTAAGTGTTTCCTTAACTGTGAAGGACTGTCACGTCTTTGGTGCCATGGGTTGGCATTGACCTGGGTCTTTGGGTGACATATGGTTCTGTGGGTCTCTCTGAAGATGAATATTTTTTGTAACTATTCTATGGAAGTATGTGTGAGTACAAAGGGTCATTTCATTTAGGAAAATCCCAAGCTGCCTAAAGCTTATTCTGAGGCAGCAGAATATGAAAGTTAAAAAAATAGTTACTGATGCATATTTCAAATACTTACTCAGTGGTAGGTACTGGAAAGTTTAGCACATAATCACAGCCACCGTGTGAAATCATTGATATTATCCTCCCTCATATGAATTCTGATTCGTGTTTTGGCATTTGCTCAGGATCATACAGGCTATACAGAGCAAACTCATAATTGAACTCCGGTTTATCTCATTCTAAATCCTGTTTCCTTTCCACTTTGCTACTGTTTTCGGTGCCACACATGAAATGTGTTTTGGTTCATACACACGGATGAAGAGAGGCAGCATAAAGCATTGGAGAGGGCACTGTTACAACAGCCAGAAGAACTAGGTTCTAAGCCAGACTTTTACTAATTGGGTAATCCTTTGACAAAGTAGAAAATTACCTCAAACTTCATCTTTTTAAATGTGTAAACCAGTGGGTTACGTGAGACCATCTTGACTCTGCCTATAATTCTAAATGGCTCATTTATATTAGTAATTCAGTAAACACTTTGAATAGGCTTCTAAACACCCTTATTTTGTGTTAAAGAATATTACAGTAAGCTGCTGTGTGTTAAAGTCTCAGATTGACATAGTTTATTTTGAGTTGCTTAAATAAATGCAACTTTAATTTTACCTTCTTTCGTGTATTTAGTATTTTTTTTAGTTTAAAAATGATGTTCTCTTATATAAATTGTTCTTCTGAGTTTCATAATAAATCGAAACCTCTGACCATTACTGTATTAGGGAGAACTTGAAAATATATTTAAAGTTTATATTTGTTTTCCTGAATACTTTACTCTTGCTGATAATACAAGGAAGTGACCTTAAATGGTGAATATTGTTTAATATTATTATTTGTTTTTCTGAAGTTTGTATTGTAATAGTTGCTCTCCTTTGGTGAAAGGCAGTGTGTGTTCATCAGTAAAGCTGTGATACACATGAGAGGAGTTTGAGCAAATTTTTCAACAAGCTCTCTGGCTCTAAAATCAAGAGTAGACCTAGACAGGATCCAAACCACAACGGAGTCCATGGGGTCAAAGTTATGTCCTGGAGCTCAGCAATTGATGAATATGGTTAGGTTTCAGCAGTCGATAAGTAGAAATGGATGACTTTCCAGATACCATTAAAAATTTCAAAATAATGGCTTTTTATAAGTACATGTAGTGATGTAAATTTTTTCTTTGAAATTTTGTAATTGATTTAACTGTTATCGTTATTTACTTGTGTAAAAAATAACATTTCATAGACTTACCCTCCTACAAAATATTTTGACTACAAATCTTCACACTTTTTCATGAATTCATTCACACATTCATTCAGCAAGTATTTATTAAGCACCTTAGTGGACAAGGCACTAGTTTGAGTACATTTCAGGATGCAAAGATGATCAGTTTATAATTTGTCTTTAAGGATTTACATTCTAGAACATATAAATGAGGAAGGATGAAGAAGATTAGGAAAGGCTCACTAAAGGAAGTGGTATTTTTATCTAGGCCTGTAAAGGACAGGATTAGGCAAGTAAATTTGGAAGGAGGCCAATTCAGACAAAAAATTGGGTGAATAAAATCTTCAATGCTAGAAGAATTGGATGTAGCTGAGGAATGAGTAGTAGTTCATTTCTCTGAAAAAGAAGGGTAATAGGGGAAGTTTAAAGTAGATTTCAGCTAGGTCATAGTGAGAGCTTTGAATGCTACTTCATTTATTTTTTGAGATGGAATCTCGCTCTGTTGCTCAGCTGGAGTGCAGTGGCACGACCGCAGCTCACTGAGAATGAG